ATTTCAGTCAAGTATTGCACCACATTGCAGTCAAGTATTGCACCACATTTCAGTCAAGTATTGCACCACATTTCAGTCAAGTATTGCACCAAATGTCAGTCAATTATTGCATCACATTTCAGTTAAGTATCGTACAACATTTCAGTCAAGTATTGCACTACATTTAAGTCAAGTATTTTTCATATTTCAGTCAAGTATTTCATTATATTTCAGTCAAGTATTGCACCACATTTATTCCGACGAATAAAGTGAAATGTCTATTCTTATGTACCAAATTCAATGCAAGTTTTATGTAGTTTTCCCATTGTCCTGAATAGCCAGTCGTGACCAGTGGACATTAAACAAGTTAAGCAGTAATGATTGAACAATCACTAAAACCAATGTATTTCCTATAAATCCTTTAGAAAATGTCACGGGAGGCGGGGCTGAACATTTAACAAAACAGGCAGACATTTTTTTTTTTCTTTTACAAGTGACACACTTTATAAGAATCCCATTTAGGGCACCCCCCCCCCCCCAGGCTCGCAGCCGCATATTTTTTACACGCCCCTTAACAATATTAATATATTCTAATGAGCCACCTACTTTTACACCGCACATGTATTTCACCAACTGTTTCAGAAAAACAAAATACAATTTACGCACCAACTATAGTGGGATTTTAAAAACAATAAAAGAATCTCATTTAGAGCAGTTAGCGGCAATTTTATTTCCTGAAATCAGTGACGTCATATTTCCTCTATCTAATCTAGCCTTTGAATAACAGGAACAACTGGTTTTTGGTTGGTTAGGGTGGGGGGGGGGGGGTTGGCTAAAAATTTGACATCGGCAAGGAGTCTGTGTGCCATGTTCAGCTCAATGGGTGAAGGGAAGAGGGTCAGTTAGCCGTCCGGAGATTTTGCAAGTCACGAACAAAGGCGAAGTTAAAATAAAGGATTTTTTTAATGGTCTAATTACATATAACATTCTCATATATTATCCAATAAACGATTGTGACGGTAAATAGCAGTAAATGTTCAATGTAATTATCCGATTCAGCAGTCGCCGCTGTGGTTGATAAAACCATCTGATTAAAATCGACGCCAAGGAACGTGTTAGTGAACTACTGCAGGCTGGCTAAGTGGGGCATCGGTTTATTTACATCTGTTACCATGGGCTACCGGTGGCCTTCATTTAGTACTACTCTCTCTCTCTCTCTCTCTCTCTCTCTCTCTCTCTCTCTCTCTCTTGTAAGCGGTGTCTGGTAATGGTGAAATAGCTCAAATTATTGCAGCAGATTTTTGTACTTGAGTGGAGAATGGAGGGTATAAGGAGATATAGTTATGCATAGTTAAAAATACACGAAGGCATATGAAAATATTTACATTGATTTTTTGCAAACATTATATTTATTAGTAAATGACCTCACTCTCCGTAGTGATCAATATGACAAGTGTAAGTAAGTCAGTAAGTGTGTTGAATTGTAAAATTAAAAAGGACATATTTCTTTTAATTTTAATATCTAAGGTAACAAATTTAGGTTAACAACACCCAAAAGGCAGTAGCAATTTCTCACATATATAAAGTAAAGCTGTACATTTTTGGGGTTAATTTTTTTCAAATAAAACTTTTTATAGTCCAAAGTTTGGCCACGTCACTTTTTACATTATTTTTTTTTTTTTTGTTAGGCGAGCGTGTACCAAATTCACCGCTTGGCTGGCGCGCGATGGCGGCGACTTCGCGGAACAGCGACCAAACCAAATCTGATTGGTCGGGTTAACCAATCTATTTATAGCATGGGTTTCCCAACTATAATATGACTGTAGTGTCACAAGGCTGTGCAATCATTTCTGCCAGCGTAAACACAAACCCATGGACGCAGTGAAACCGTTTTAATTTGAGTTCACGGACTTGCACAAGTTGCACGTTATTAAGTTTTGCAGACATTTTTTTAAACAGTATCTGACACACTCACAGATTAGAACACTGTCTATAAGCTCTATCAGCAAGATACAGGTATGAAATAGAAGTTTTAACTGGTGTCGGTGTGTTTTAAAAATGCATTTCCTTACTTTGTCGTGTGGTTTTATATATTTATTCAAATTTATTGATCAAGCGTACAATTTTTATCAGTCATTAATATGCCAGGAAACGTAATAATTGATTTAAATAGCCTTTATAAGTCGTGAGTTAGTTTACAGCCAACATTTAAATTAAATACCTTGTTTTTCGATTCCCCATCGAATTTATTTAAAACACATGCCATGCGTTTGTTTACTTGTGTTGACCATCAATAGTGTGCTACAGTTGAGTAAGTTATACCTAGCGTGTCTCTGCATTTTTGAAATTTTATTATTACTCTACTAGTTTCTTAATAAGGCGCAAGTGATTGATTATTGAGGACTATAATTGACTGATTGATTTTATTGATTGATTTTGTGTAATTGATTGATTGATTGATTAACTGACTTTAAAACAACTGAATACAGATACCAGCTTAGACGATGATCAACAACCTCCTTCAGCCCCAAATCACTAACCAGCCTGGAGTCGGGCCTCATGACTTCACACAACCGGTTGTCTTAAACGTGTACTCACCAACGCTCGACCAAAACCCGCCAAAATCCGACACGCCTCAACATTTTGTGCTCGACAACTCTACAGCCGGTCCTACTGACGTCAACACCAGCTGTTGGCCATTTCCGGTTTCATTTGACGGGGCGGGCAACTCGTATCTGACCATCGGTCCTCAATATAATACCTCACCTCAATCAGGCAGCGGTGACGTCCCTTATGACCTGGTGCCCGACTTCACGTGTGAACCTTACCAAGCTGGTTTCGGAGAGGGCAACATCAGCAACGACAGCAACACGTCCATAGCATCCACTAACAACAACCCGAGCGCCAACCTACTTCCGGAAATGCCTGAGCACCAACAGGAGGTTGAGATGATCGGCTCTGAGAGCGGAGCCGACGGACAGTTGCTGCTCCGATATGATGAACAGGACGAGAAAATCATTAAAGCCACGTTGAAGTCGGTTCAGAGCGGCTCTCTGACGCCCCTGATTAAAGAAGAACTAAGATGCACTATCCAGAGTCGGAGACTCGCGGAAGGTAAAGGGGAGCTGAAAGTAGAGTTTAAAAGTCCGCCCAGGAAAAAAGATGTAAGTTAAATATTTTATGAGTTAGTGTCAATATTTAAGTAGTCTTTAATTTGGGGGAAACTAGACCTGGGTGGGGCTTAGCAACAATGGGCCTTGACCATGGGTGGGACGTGGCTACTGGTGGGACTTGACCACAGCTTTGATTTGACGACAGGAAGGATTTGACCATACACTCGTGGAACTTGATCACAGTTTAGATTTGACTACTGGTGGGATCTGACTACTGGTGGGGTTTGACTACTGGTGGGATTTGACTACTAGTGGGGTTTGACTACTGGTGGGATTTGACGTCAGGTGGGAGTTGACCACTGGTGGGACCTGACCACAGATTCCCCCCTTTTTATGGTCATATTTTCTATTGTCCCCAAAGAAACAAACCACTACCCAATTGTTGTAGCAAAATTATACTTTGTTGTTGTTGTTGTTGTTGTTGAAAACATCTCATTCCAAGTGGAATTTAAAAAAAAAAAACTGAAATGACCTAAAATAATGAACCCCATGAGCACATACGACGTTAAAGTTAGAGGCACTCTTCCCACACTTTAAAAACGTGTGAACAGCCTGTAACTGCCCCCCCTCCTCAAGTTATAGCTACCCCCTTTGTACCCTGTACTACGCCTTTTCATACACAGAGGTGTGTCGCGATGTGTCGGGACCCACGTCATTCATCAAGACACACAACGCCGATATTCTGTGTCAACACAGGCTGTGAAACATTGATTTGTGCTGAACACCGCAACACAGGCTGTGAAACATATATTTGTGCTGAACACCGCGTTAAACACCGCGTTAAACACGGCGTTAAACGACACGTTGAACGACGATAACCTTTCAAAGACAGTATCGGTCTGACATAATAGGATCCATCAGCTGCGATACTTCGGTACAGTTAAGCCATAGACAATAATTAGGACGAATCCATTGGGGCTGCAATCGATCCAGAGTTCGGAATCGAGTACAGCATTTGCCGGGGAAGCGTATCGGAAAATAGTTTCGTCCGGGCACCAACCTGTGACGTAGTCAGCTCAAGGCAGCTACTCATTGTATTATGTTGGACTTGTATGTCAACTAGGGGGACCAAATCATGAACTGGAAAAAACGGGACACACCCAAGCAGGGTTGGGGGGGGGGGTGGGAATACCCTTCCGTTAAAGAGGCGTCCAGGGGCCTCCGCCGGAAACTGTTTATTGAAATATGCTCATTTGAACTACTAGGAGACCTAGAAATCTTTTCAAATTTACCTTCACTTTTGTCATTTAATTGAAACTCTGAGGCATTTCATGAACGAAAACAATAATTTTGCAGTGGATACTTTTCTGTTTACACATATTCTACAACATAATACAACACAACAAATTAAGTTTCTCTAGTCTAGGATTTAAATTGAGGATATTTGGCTGTTGTCCCAGCCATTGTTAAAACCTCCTTCTCGTCTGATATGTGACAATGGGTTTGGTTTTAGAAACGGGACATTGAGGCGTCCCGACTTTTTCGGGACACCGGGTTCGATTGTGGAAAAAACCGGGACAATTCCGTAAAAGTTTTGACCGGATGTTTGATCACCCGTATGTAAACCTACATTGGACAACTCACCTTGCACAACATGCATGTCACCCTAACCTTCATTTCGTTATCTCACGTATTGCATGCACTTCTCTCTGTCACATGCCTCACATAGTCTCTACCAAGAACACAGGAAGGGTGCTATGGGGCGTAGGAAGGGGGTGCGGTCCACCAAGACCACAGGAAAGGTGCTTTGTGGCGCAGGAAGGGGGTGCGGTCCACCAAGACCACAGGAAGGGGGAGCGGTCTGCCCAAGGGGCACTTTTTTTCTTAATATTGAGGGGCGGAGATTTCTGCCAAACGAAGAATTTTTTCATTGAGGGGGCGAAGAAATTCTCAGCAAAACACAGAACAATTAAAAGGACGTTTCGGAAAAATGCCTCCTTAAGCAGACAAGACAAAAAATAAAATTAAAAAACACTCAGTTTTTATGTATGATCCCACCCTCTTCTCCATGACCCCAGCCTCTACTCCATGACCCCAGCCTCTCCTCCATGACCCCACCGTCTCCTCCTCAATGAATCCACCTCTTTTCCTCTATGCCCATACACTCCATCCCTATAAATGTCATTAAGAACTGACCATGATGTCATTAAGTACTGACCATGATGTCATTAAGTACTGACCGTGATGTTATTAAGTACTGACCATGATGTCATTAAGTGCTGACCATGATGTCATTAAGTGCTGACCATGATGTCATTAAGTACTGACCATGATGTCATTAAGTACTGACCATGATGTCATAATGTACTGACCATGATGTCATTAAGTACTGACCATGATGTCATTTTTTCAGATGACGGAGGATGAGAGAAAGAGGGCCGTCAAGCGGAGACTACAGAACAGGGAGGCAGCTCAGAGGTTCAGACAGAAGCAGAAGGATACCTCGGATTACCTCACAGGGGTGAGTACTGGTCAAGGTCACCTGCTTGGGGGGGGGCTGGTCAAACTTCCTGTCCACACACCTAACTACACACAACTCACTGTGTATGTCACACCACACGACGCATCTCATTACACGTTTACTATCAAATCTTTACACACCACATTACACATTACAGTGAATGATAGTGAGTTGTGTAGTGTATGATAGTGAGATGTGTTGTGCATAATGGTGATATGTGTATTGAGTTATGGAGCGTGGATAGAGTGTACGTACGATAACCATCTTGTGATAATAAACACAATGGGAGAACTTCGGCCCTGAATACAATAGTAAAGATAGATAAGGATATGAGCTGCTGTTTAATAGTCTCAAGTTTGTATTGTTTAGGGCGTCACTGCATGGGAAACACCTTGTGTACATTTAGGGCATCACTGCCCAGGTATATCATGTGTACATTTAGGGCATCACTGCCTGTGTATATCATGTGTACATTTAGGACATCACTGCCCGGGTATATCATGTGTACATTTAGGACATCACTGCCCGGGTATATCATGTGTACATTTAGGACATCACTGCCCAGGTTTATCATGGTACATAAATAGGGTGTCACTACGTGGCTTTGATCGACACTTTCAAGGTGCATCGCTAGAGAGAACAGTTCGATCCCGTTTTGAAATTTAAAGGACGTTTTGAGAAGATTTTTTATGAAGCGTAGGTCCCCCGTCGGATGCTCGCCATGAACTGTTGGAATGCGCTGTGCATAGACAATTAGAACTTTACGGTAAACCAAATCTTAAAGGCAATGCATGAGATTGAAAAATAGACTTGTGGTCTGTGCTCAGAACTCAACAGTGAGTCTTGTGGTCCGTGCTCAGACCTCACAGCCTTGAAAGTGAGTCTTGTGGTCCGTGCTCAGATCTCATAGGCCTGAAAATGAATCTTGTGGTCCGTGCTCAGAACTCCCGGCTGCAATATGTATTAACACTTTATTAACAGGGAGATTCTGTCCTGGAACATGTCCATATCTGTAACTTAACCCAAAGTTGGCCTTGAACTTAGAATGGGACATAAAAAAACAAAAAAAAACTATGGAGGTAACTTCTTCAATCTGAGTTAAGACAGTGTCACGCTTGACTGGCAACCGACGAATGTTGCAATGTCTACTAGAATATCTACAAGTACATCTATGACATCCCTGTCCAATTACGGATGTAGGTAAACTTTGATGTGATGAACACATGTACACAAGCCTGAACCAACACAGGTAGACACACCTGGGCCAACATATATGTACACAAGCCTGTAACAGCACATGTACACACGCCAGAACTAACATATGTGATAAAACATGTACCGAAAGTTTTACAAACATTTGTAGTAACCACGTTACCAACACATACACACATGTACATAACCATGGACTCACAGATGTACACGATTTCGGTGTCGCTCCTCTGACCCCGGGGTTGGGGCGATTGTCTCTCTTAGCCCCCCACCCCCTATTAGCACGACAATGGGCAAACCTAACAACAGGAACAATTATTTGATATGGCCTTTAAGTATACAATACTTGAATAATAGCTCAGTGGCTCTCAATCTTTTGGTTTTGTGGTACCATGATCATTGTTCGAAAACTTTGCAGAAAATATTTTTTTAATTTCAAATTGACCCACAACCCATCCACTTTCAAAGTCAAGTTGTGTGTTATTTCTTCTCTCAAACCCACGCTTTAATTGTTTGAGGACCATTGTAGCTTTAAAAAAAAGAATAAATAACGAATTTCGGTTCACCTGTTGTGTTGGTCCGTTACGTCACGGACTGACACCGGATCTAGATAACCCACGGGCTGTACTGTTTAGTGTCGTCACCCTACCCTTGGGGGTTTTCTAACTACGTAGGACTCACCACCCCAGGCTGATTAGGTGAAGGCGTATGTGACCAGGTCGAGAGAGGGAATGGGGGTGATAAATCTGGGTGCAGGAGTGGGGCAGGGTGGGCATGATTATCTCCTTGACCCGGCTAGAGATTTAATCACATTTAATCGAACCATTCCTAGTTGTAAACCACTGAGAGCAATGTAACCCCAGTAAGAAAGTCGTCTCTACCCGGCTAGAGATTTAATCACATTTAATCGAACCATTCCTAGTTGTAAACCATTGAGAGCAATGTAACCCCAGTAAGAAAGACGCCCACCGAAAAGTCATTTTGACGGAAGTTGTAGTTTTGACATTTTTGTACAGTCAGCTATTTTCACAATAATTATGTTAGACAATCCATGATCGGCCATCTTTAATACTAGCCCCTACCCACAGGCTTTACTAGGGTTGGTGTATCGTTGTCCGGCCCTTACCCCTCTAGTGACGCCACTGGTCCGGCCCTCACCCCTCTAGTGAAGCCACTGGTCCAGCCCTCACCCCTCTAGTGAAGCCACTGGTCCAGCCCTCACCCCTCTAGTGTAGCCCCTGCTCCGGCCCTCACCCCTCTAGTGAAGCCACTGGTCCGGCCCTCACCCCTCTAGTGAAGCCACTGGTCCAGCCCTCACCCCTCTAGTGAAGCCACTGGTCCAGCCCTCACCCCTCTAGTGACGCCACTGGTCTCACCCACAGCACAAGTTCTATTGGTTTGATAGTTGTTGACCTAATTTTTTTTTATTTAAAAAAATATTGAAAATCACATTCTGGTCTTTCAACAGAAAATTCGCCGCCTAGAAAGCGCCTCCAACAATCTGATCTCTGACTTGAAGCGGTTGAAGGAGGAACGAGATGAACTTCAAGAGATGCTGAAGAACCACTTGTTGGTCTGTACGAGTCACGTGCAGACCACCATCAACGTGAACCCCCAGCTTGAAGAGTTCCTGCATGATCTCCACAACCAACCAGCCCCATCGGCCATCGCCAATACTCCACAGTGCCTGGACTCTAGCGACTCGTGCGAGTCTGTCTTCTTCTTGGAGGACGATTCTCACATCCCTCGGCGCGACACCCACAGCTATGACAGTATTATCATTGACCAGAGCCAGCTGTGTTTCGAGGGTGGTATGATGGACGATCTGAACGCCCCCATTGATGTGTTTTACGAGGAGGTTGTCGAAGACGAGTCCCAGTACTCTGTTGGAGATCACAACAGCAGGTTGGATTCTATCTCAAGCGTGGGGGCCACTTCGTCTCATGGTTCCTATTCGCCTGCCAAAATATCTCTGAGTGGTTCTTCCAGCAATTTAAGAGACAGCTTTCAGTCTGAGAACTCAAGGACCCACACAAACTCGTCCTCCTCCGACATGCTGGATGCTGTTTACATGGAGGAGGACTTCCTCTTACCCGAAGATTTTTCATCTTGACACAGAAAGGTGTTGGACCCAGACCTTCAGTGATAAGGGCCTTGACCCAGAACTTGGCTCATCTGTTACATGTAACAAGTGGCTCTGTTGATCCAATCTGTTTGGTTGTTTCTATCTTACTAGCAAATCAAGCACAAATGACATACCACTAGACTGAGCTTAACAAATAATCAAAATTGGTCTTAGTGGATGAACTATAGAAACATATGGTCGCAGTTTATGCCACTGTCAGCAATGGCGGAACTAAAAGGATTAAGGGGTGTGGGATCCCTTAGTTTTGAGCCATAAATGAGAAAGCAATATTTTACTATTGGCCATTACCCAGCCCCCCCCCCCCTTCCAAAAAAAAAAAGATAATTGATTGCAGATTTTTGGCTTCAAAATTTCACAAAAATGTTGACATTTCTTGGCAGCAATATTTTACTATTGGCCATTACCCATCCCCCCCCCCCCTTCCAAAAAAAAAAAGATAATTGATTGCAGATTTTTGGCTTCAAAATTTCACAAAAATGTTGACATTTCTTGGCATGAACTCAAGTTATCTGAAACTAGCTTTGGACTTAAGCTCAACAAAGTATCATGTTACAGCTCAACAAAGTATCATATTACAGCTCAACAAAGTATCATGTTACAGCTTAACATAGTATCATGTTACAGCTCAACAAAGTTTCATGTTACAGCTTAACATGGTATCATGTTACAGCTTAACATGGTATCATGTTACAGCTTAACATGGTATCATGTTACAACTCAACATGGTATCATGTTACAGCTCAACATGGTATCATGTTACAGCTCAACATAGTATCATGTTACAGCTCAACATAGTAAATCATGTTAAAAACAATTTTGTTGCAGGTCATGGTGGGAGTCATCAATCTATTTGAACCCCCCCCCCCCCCCCCCCCCCCCATCAGCATAGGACTTGAACATGTCAAAAACCTGGCCAAATTTAATTGATGAAGCATATAGGCCAATGGGCGCCCATGTATAGGCCTATCATTTTAAATGAGCAATTTTAAATGTCTAATTTGAGTATTTGGCCCAGTTAACTGAAGCCATTTATTGGCTTGATTAGACCATTGCTGTGTCTGTGTGTCTGTGCTTACATAACAGTCATTGAGCAGATAACTTACTGGATGGCAGCAGGGCAAGATATGACATTTATGACAGTAGGGCAAGTTAGGACATTAGGACAAGTTATGACATTTATGACAGTAGGGCAAGTTGTGACATTTATGACATTAGGACAAGTTATGGCATTAGGATAAGTTATGACATTTATGGAAATAGGGCAAGCTTTGACATTTATGACAGGACAAGTTATTTCTTTATGACAACAGGGTAAGTAATGGCAACTACCAGATGTTCTTAGGCCCAATATTTGTCCTGTTATGTTGACCCAGGATAGTCTACAGGGAATGGGAGGTAAATGTGCCAGGTAGCAAAGTACTGAAAGTTCATGTACATGGCCACACCCACATTTAAGTTATGTTACAGCCTCCAGGCGAGGATCCAACAATAACGTGTTTACCTGGCACAACTTTGTTTGACCAACTTTGTTTTATCAATTATTAAATCAACTTTTTAATCTACATTTCAAATATTTTTACAAATAAAACATTTTTTTTGGGGGGGGGGGG